TGAGAAATGCTTCCTTAACAACCAATAATTTTCTTTTATTTGTTATCTTAAGTTTTTGGCAAATCTCTATTCATTTAATAGTTAATTGTTTTGTTAACGTCAACCCCATATTGCCACACACTTCATAACCAAATCATATATTACATCATAAAAACAGTTTAACACACAAAAAGAGATAAAATATATCTCTATAAAAATATTTTAATGGCTTTCTATCTAACACACCGTACATAAATAAAGCAATATCGTTTGATATAAAAATAGGAAAATAAGAGAGATGGAAAATAACTTTATAGAAATAACAAAATCGACAAGATGCACATTTCAAAAAGAAAATGGTAAAATAAAATGGATGGATAACGCCAAATTTCAATAGCCAGGGTTGCCAGATTGAATACCATTTCCCCCCTACTCTAAGAATAAAATAATATGTGTAATGGGCCAGATTTTGGCCGCTGCCCGGGGGAGCTTGATACCACTCCATTGATCGTTTGGTCGTTAAAAGTAAGGGTAAACAAGATATCGTCTGCTTTCTAAATCCATGCATCGTTTGATATCAAAATAATGCATTCTTATTGAATATCTACCGTTTTTATCTCAACCTATATATTATTTTATTATATTTTATTTCAAAATTTAATATATATTGAGACTTTACAAATAAAAATATATATAAACATAATTTTCAAATATGCATAGTTTCCTTTAAATGTTTTTTTGAGTGTATAAATTCTTTATTTTCAATTATTGAAAGTCAATGATGTACATACTGATTTAGTAAAAAAATAATAAAAATAAACTACAGCTAAAACTATAGCGAACACTAATGAACCATTCCGAAAATGTTTCCCATTTGGAATTCCTTTTTATTTTCGTCCAAATTTTTATAACTTACTGTTCATCCCAAATCATGGTAATTTTGGAGAATTTCTGTCGAAAATCAGGGCAAAGGATTATCATAGCTGCTTCTGTGGAAAATAAAACCAAGACTCAATACATTTATTGATAGAATGTCCAATCTTTCACAGCTACAGAAGTAATCATTTTTATCCCATTGAAGAAATTTGCGAATTTGTATATAACAAAGACACTTATGTAAAATTCAATAATTTTTGTAAATTCATTTTATATTTTTTCTTCTGTTTGAGAATACCATCGTTTCAGTTTTAATTATGTTTTTAGTCGGTTATTGAATTGTATATAATGAATTGTATATAATCTACTAAAATGTATTTAGGCGCAAGTATCCCGAGCTGGGATATCGCGTCCGATATGTCAAATAAAAAAAGAATGTGTTAAAAATAATGACAAAACGACGATTAGACAGAAAAATATTTTTAATAGCTTCATATTTGAAAATTTAAAAATAAAGTTAACAAAAAATAAAAGCTACGTGAAAACGACACGATATATGTACCGATACAATATATACGAATATTATTATAAACATTCAATATTGTTTTTAAAATATGTTTGGCTTTATTCTCCTTAATATACACGTATATACATATATGAAAAAACAATAGAAAAAAATAACAGATAAGTGGGTCAGGTGTTGATATTAATAATAAAGAAGGCATATCCTGACCACGAGCACATGTGCTTTTTAGATGGCAAAGCGCCTTCTTTATTTTTATATCAACACCTGACCCACTTATATTTTATTTTTCTATTGTTATTTTCATGTGTTAAGCGTATTTACGCAAATTATGCCTTAAATACCCATTTCTTGGTTTCTCAAGAAGCCTCTGGGACTAAAAATCTTTTTGGTCGCAGTGGTTAGAGCCTACTCCACGCTGACGAGCGCCAACAGCGCCAAACGCGTTCGTGGATGGCTTTTCTTGATTTATCAAGAAATTGGGTTGGCCAAATATCACGGAGCAGGTTAAATAAACGTTTATTTTATTTTTGTTCCACTAGATGTCGCTCTGCCATCTAAAAAGCACATGTGCTCGTGGTCAGGAAATGCCTTCTTTATTTTTAATATATATATATAATATTATTCTATAGATTGTAATATATTTTCCTTATTTGCCTTTTTTCAGATATTTCATGTATAGATATTTCAATGTATTTAGGATACCGATAAGTTTACTGGAATAATATTAAAAATGATTGAAAATCAATAAATATATTATTTTTATTTATATTAATGTAAAAAAGATCGACACTTTTCTCTGAACATATATTTTGTTGCCGGGGATCTGCTTCTTCGTACTATAGATGAGCGGAATCCAGAATTGTTGTCCGTTCTACTCTATCAGATCACGATTTAGAGATACATTCTCTCTACCTAGCATTGGTGAGCTTTCTGAAAGTTTGACTTGTCGATACTGGCGACACAGCGTCCACCAATGGGGTTTATTTCTAACTAGTTAAATTCTGTACCCCCCACATTATTAGAAGAGTATAACAGATCTTCATCATATAGGTTGGCAATCCTGCACTTCTTGAATACGGTTGCTGATAGAAATAATGAGTTAATAGATTTGGATTCTGCACATTGAATACATCTTAGGACTGCTACTAGCGTGCCGACAACAGATAAAACAAATTATATTGGCTGGTGGAATTTATAACTTGAACGACAAAAGTCAAACCCCACCAGTGAGAGCAAGTAATCAAAAGGGATTTGTAAGTACAAAGGTAGAACTGCTATCTACATGTATAGACATGTGGTGAACTTACTATACACGTATTCTCCAATACTACTCAACATGATTATTATGGGCTTGTATCACGTTCACTATGAATGATAAAAGTATCTTGAATTATGTGTATTTTTATATATAACAAAGACTTCATCCAAACTATATCAAAAATATAGAATCTAAATGAAACATTAAGCATATATTCTCAGTTATTTTTTATATTGGAGTCAATTTCAATATTTATAAAAAACACATTTCTACAACGTTTCACTACAATCAATAAAGGAAGAATACCAATGCACTAAGTAAAATTTGATCATAGAAATAGTATATTATTGATAAATAGAAATGATATTTCAAAAACAAAATATAGTTTTAATGAATTCAATTGTAATATATATGTTTTAAAAACAAATATGAAGATTTAATTAAAACACATATATTGAATCATAAAATAATTTATCTACTAATATATATCTTTGTAATTATATAAATATTTATGGGTTACTCTATTTTAAAAATATGTATATATGCGAAGATTTTATACAAATTTTATTCTAAATTATATGTGCATACATGCAATTATTAATAATGAATTCAGAAGATTTGGAGTAGGAGGAAGGTAAACAGTTCATCAATGGACGACCCGAATGTTTGCAGACGTGAATTGTCCATATTCCATCCTACAGACTAAATACAGCGCACGCTGCCAGTTTAATGGATGTTTATCAATTTAGAATATTCGCAGGTCACACATGTACAAGAGGAATTCTAAAGCATCGAATACAAAATCCCAAACTAGGGATGAAAAATTGGAAAAATATTTTAAAATACATAATTAAATTTGAAAAAATAGTACAAATGTGATATTTAACTGGGATAAGGTGCATAAATTATGAAAAAAGGCATCTCCTTATCGTGCAACTGAAAGTTGCTGATGGTTTGCGCCATCTATCGGAATAAATATCAACTATTCTTGTTGATTTTTAATTATTCCAGAATTGGCCAAATACCCATTCTTGATTAATCAAGAAAAGATAACCACGGACGCGTTTCGGGCTATTGGCCCTCATCATTTCTTGATTAATCAAAAATGGGTATTTGGCCAATTCTGGAATATTTAAAAATCAACGAGAATAGTTGATATTTATTTCGATAGATGGCGCAAGCCATCAGAAACTTTCAGTTGCACGATAAGGTGATGCCTTTTTTCATAATTAAATGTGTTATAAAAGATTAAATATCTGCTGGCACAGAAATATTAAATGATAAAATAATGCCAATGACCTACAAGCTTTTCCATATTTACATATATCTTGGAAATATCTTCCCCTTATCGTGTAATTGAAAGATACTGGTGGAGTGCGCCATCTATCGGAAAAAATATCAACTAATTGTTGAATTCTTCAATTGCGCAGAATAATAGCATTGATTAGATGATATTTATTCCGGTAGATGGCGCAAACCAATAGACACCTTCATTTGAACGATCAGGAATAGCTTTTTATCAAATATCAACCCCTGATTCTATATAAATTTCGTTTTCTCTACTTTTTTTATATAGTCCTCTTATAAGAAATATAAACTTTTTGACGCGTATGATTCTTTCTGAACTAAACCAATTTTCTATTGCTCTTACTGCAATAATACGACAATGAGAAGGTCCTTCTACTGCCCTTAATTTTGCAGTAACGCCAGTAGAGAATTGTTTTAAATAAAAAAAAACGTGTCTAAAATATTTTATTTTTCTTATTACAGATGTCGCGCTAATACATCATAATAACACTCAGCTTAGTTTATATTATCCGATAACAAATGGCAGTAAACCGTATTTCCAATATTAAGATTTGTAAATAGAAATTTACTTTCGTCATAATTTTTTCAATAACGTATGCTTCTGCTGTTTTCATTTTCTCCTGTTGAAGAGAACACTATATGTTGGTTATAAGTTCACATTAAGCCGATTGACAGAGATTAGTCTGTTGACCTAATAATGACGACGTAGGCCATCCATCCTGTGCGTTCAGTTTCAGGATAAGAGGACTTTCAGAAAAATTGCACCTTAAACCTCGTTCTGATACATTCTTCTATTTGTGCTCTAATTTTTTCATATATAATATTTTAATTATAAAACATAAATTGTTGCGAAAAATAGTACAAAAGTGATTTATAATACAATATAATACGGCTTGTGATAGTAAAACGACATTTGAAAATTATACCGCATGTGTTTCTTTTAAACGAAAAATCTAAATTTATTTTAAGGAGAAATAATGATTATTTCTAACCTAGGGATGAGGTATGAAAGGATGAATTGTGAAGAGTAATGATAAACGGAAAAATAAAAGTGTCCAGGGATGGGAATCGAACCCACAGTGTTCCGCTTACCTGGCAGATGCCATGCCAACTAGGTTACCCTGGACATATTTTTCCGTTTACACAAAAGTGAAATTGTACTTTGATCAGATTGATAAATTAAGAATAAGGTATCTTTTAATCGTGTGACTAAAAGTTGCTGATGGCTTGCGCCATCTGTCGGACTAAATATCTACTACTCATTATTTATTAATTATTCATTTTTTGCCAATTCTGGAGATGAGCTTATTTTCATTTTTATTAATGTAATCTCAAGCTTTCGGGCATCTCTGCCCTTCTACAGGAGTATATAAAACCAATAATAAACGACGTTTACGGGTATGTGGTGGAGGGTATACCTCAACAACCAAATTTTAGCCCAAGAGGCTTCCTGAGAAATCAGAAATGGGTATTCGAGGCCATATTTTCTTAATTGAATAATTGGTTTTAAATACCTATTTCTTGATTTCTCTAGAAGCTTCTTGGACCAAATTGGTATGAACTATTTTAAACTAGCTCTACAAGTTGATATAAAAGAGGTTATACTCAATTCGTATTTCAAATAAACGAACTTAGAGAGAGTCACACATTCACCACACAAAACTTAAAGATTTATTTGAGCCCGACAATCGACCAGTAAACACAGACTTCGCACCATTTGTCTGGATTGGAAAAAATTGAGAAAAAATCTTTCACGTGACTTAAGGGTTAGGCCTAAGAAATAAATCAATTTTTCTGTGGAGATAGTTCCTATTGAATATAAAGTATTGCATTGGAAAATATTTCTTTTTAGATTCCTCTCATAGAAATATTTTAAAATGATACACTGTTGTTTTGCTGTCCATATTTAAGTGTAAATAAACTCATAATGTAAAATTTCAAAAAAACAATATTCCTAATAAAATTGTGATGATTTGTACATTAATAGCTTCAGTTTCTAGTTAACAGTATGTTAATATAATGTAATAGCGCGCCATCTGTTGTAAAAAATTAAAACTGTTTGACGCGTATGTTTCTTTAAAAATAAACAAATCCCTACAGCTCTTATGTAATTACCCTCCCATTTATTTACACAACCTAGTATAACTGAGGGAAGGGCAGAGTAGAAATTTGTTTATTTTAAAATAAACATATGCGTTACAGATAGTTTCAATTTCTGTAACAATACGTTAAGTTGGAATTTAAAAGCCTTTTCCTTAAATATTAAAGAAAATTATGATGAAATATAACGTATTTAAGACCGCAAATATACTAAACCATGATTAAGCTTTAAATCGACAACTGACTATGTTAAGGTGAACGTATCAGACCTTGAGAGATAAATTTATTTAATAAATTTTAATTCACAAATCTCCACAGCTATCGGGCTGTTGTACTTATCCCTGGAATCCTGATCTTTTCACCTCAACATTGATACAAGGGAATTTTTCAAATGAAATATTTAATAAACATTAATTGAAATTTAAACCATCCAGGGGAAATAAGATTCTTATTATATTTACTATTTCTATAGCTTTCGGGCTTAAAGAAGGCCCTTATACAGGAGAATTATATAGTCTCCAAAACCTAAAGATATTAAATATCTCTTAAATATATAGGAGAATCGTTTAAATTTATTTTTAATTATCAAATATATAAACAAGGGGTTAATTTATTGAATAGAAAATATTATAGAAACGCACAGCAAACCCGCATCCTAAAATACACACACATCAAAAGCGTTTATGCTAAATTGGATTTAAAAGTTTAAAAGTTCAAAATCAAGATATCTATTTACCTGTTTTTATAATGGATATGCAATTATGAAAGTTTATCTGAAAGCAATTAGGAAGTCTCAACATTTTTAAATTACAAATTTCAAAATATTATATCACAAAATTACCAAAGAGTTAAGATATAAACCTAGAGAAACAAGTATTTGCATAAATATAATTTTTTAATATCATAAAGTCATGATTATATAGAAAAGGAAGGTTTGCTACTTTAATTTCACTCACCTACCTAGCTATTGCGATAAAAACGAGCGCCATCTATAGAAGAAAAATGAAACTAATAGGATAATTAGCGAAAAAAGAACCAAACGAAGAAGGGGAAAAGAGTTGTTGCAATATCGGCTGGTGAGAAATATTAACCCCCCCCCCCCCCCTGCTACCTGCGGCACGTACGTATTGATCCCTACCTCTACAATTTCGTCTGCCAAGTTTCTTTTGGTCGCCTTTTCTTCATATCTTTTGGTGCCTTTCCAAAACTCCATCAGACGCAGTGAAATTGCCTCGTTTGGCCAAAATATATTTTCCTCTCCCCCATCCACCCAAATATGAAATTCTCACGAATATTTCTACTTTAAAAATTTCATTCTTTGTAGATGGGGACTTTTTATAAAGTAATCTCTCTCGTCTGCTTAGTTTTGAATGGCTAATTTTATAACAAAATATATCCTTATAACATCATTATATTGAAATATACATTCGATTTTTGGATTGATTAATATTTAGTCGTTAAGGTAAAGCCTGTACCACGCTGACAAATTCTAACAATCCGGAACGCTTATGAGGAAATGATTTTGATTAAAATATCCTGAAATAAAAAATAAAATTTGATTTGTTATTTATTCCGATAGATGGAGCAAGCAATTAGGAGAAGTTTTCCAATAATCCTATACATCCTACAACGTTTTGATTTGTTTATATGCGATAATATTAAAACATGTATTCCCATGTTGAAAACTTATAAATAGATTTTAAAACACGCTGTTTTATTATTTAAATCTAATTGAGAGATATTTTCTTCTACAGATCTTATACGATAATGAATACAATTTTGAAAAGGTATGGTTCATCAGTAGTAAATCCTCTCAGCAGTTTCGCCAGTTTAATTAATCGATGATAATATTCAAATGCACCAAATATAAAACATGTGCTAAATAGACAAGAGGTCTAGGTGACACAAAAGTTAACAAGTTGCATACTGTCAAACGATGTATGGAAATAGCAGTACAGTACAGTCCCCTACTTCTTCCTCCCTCATGGGGTGGAGCCCCCTTGCGAGGCGCAAAACATTGAATTATACTTTTCGCATGTAAAATGGGAACGGGCCATGATAATCTCGGAGAACTATTAGTCTCTGTGTATATTACAGTAAGTACAACATCTGATCACGTTTGGTGCATAGTATTTCGCGTCTCTTCACAAGTGAAGTGGCCCTTCTGTTTTTGTAAATCAATATCCTCAAAGGAAAGAGAGAATCCATCTAAATTTCGGACATAGAATTAGAGTGTGTCAAATACTGATTATAGCATAAATTCTTTGTGGATTTCTAAGAGTCCATCCTGGACTGACGCTGACCGTATCCTGAAACCATGGTCTACAGATGGGCGTTCTGAATTTTCCAAACCTGGTGTTATGGCTTTGACACCGACTTGAATCTGATACGGTTCTGATGACAGTATAGGCTTTTGAGTTTATTTTTAAAAAATAGAGGTGAATTTTCACTTTATATATCCTCATATTTAGAAGCATTTCGATTTTGCACATACAACGTACTAGAATTACCTACACTAATTAGTAAACTTGGTCATATTCAAATATCAGTGTTATCTCGAAACAATAATATATTTGCCCAATTCAGGATAATATAGCTGTAACCCAGGGCTCAGCACACGTGAATTACGATTCAAATACTCGGCGATTCCAGGGAAAAAAACCAAAGATGATGAGGCAGGCAGCCATTCGGGCGGCTCTAACAAATGACTCCGAGACAAAGAAGGATTGTATTATGCAAACATTCCCAAACGATCCAACCCCAGCTCATTTCCGGTATGTGTGGGCAGATAAGAGCATTGTGCAGCCACCCAATGCCGATAGCTCGCACCATCTGCAATTAGCAGCTACAAAAGCTTTTTTCTCTCTCACAATTAAAGAGATGAATGGCCCTCTATGATCCTGTAGGACACATCGCGATGACACTCTACTAAATGATGATAAGAAATAATGATAACCGCCTTTTTGTGTTGTTTTGTATGAAGTAACGCCATCTATTGGTGAAAAAAGAAGCTATAATATTCTGTAGCGATATCTTACACCTCGACCAGAATTGATCTCATTATTGACCTACACGAGCAACAAAAATATATAACTTATTGAAGGAATAAAGCGTTTACAAAAGTTTTGAAATTTTAAAATCTATTTATAGCTTATTTTCAATCTCTCTCTTGACCAAGTTTAATGTGTATAAATTATATTTACATATATAACATTACGGGTAACATATAAAAGGAACTAAAGATCTTGCCTAATATTAATTCAATCCTTATTTTTGAAGCAGATTTTCAAAATTGATAATATTTAAAAAGAAAGGGATTTTTAGATAGAGTAGTGAGGAATTTATAGATTGGCACGATGGTGAATATGAGAATGTGTGAAGTTCGCCTTTCCTCCTGGTAGAAGAGGACACAGGACCAAACAATATGGACCAGCCAGTCTTGAGTTTCAACTCCGCACAAATGATAGCTTAAGCCACAATCATCCATCCAAAATTCTAAGCGGCTTACGGGGAACATAGCCAAAATATCCGCTGCTATGCTAAAGGTCGGTTGATTGGAAGCGGAAGATTAGGATAGCAGAGATAATCCTCTTCAATCAGAAGCGAGTGATTTCGATTGTGGCAGTGATTGTAGTGAAAATATTATTTATATAGGTCTGTGATATCAAAAGGATAATAGTAAACATGATATTTATCAATATATTTTATAATATATTTTTCTTTTATTGTTGTTCATAGTAAGAAGAGTTTTGAAAATAGAGCAATCCATAAATAAATATTTAATTAAAAAGGTATATATTGGATCAAAAAATCATTTATTTTACCAATATTTCAATATATAAATATATTTATTTTTTTCCCCCATTGAATATAATTTTTTTTTAAACTTAATTCTGTTGACGTTATTGTGGCGCTGAGTTTGTTGTTGACACACATTAAATATCTTTTAGCACTTTGATAAAGGTTGGCGTTCAGCCAACTGAAATATTGGTAAAATAAATGATATTTTGATCCAATTGTATGTCT